CACTCTTTCACAAAATTGCCCACATCATGTTGCAACTTTGGCCAATGGACTTGACATTGCAAGTTATAAAAAGTCTTTCCATCCCAACTGTCCAATCTCTTTAGAAGAACAAGCCCACATCAAGTATGCATAATTGTCTAGCTGCATAAAGAAGGTCATATCTTCAAGTGAACTCACAAGTAGATTCCTCCCCCAGTTCTTCTAAAGCGGTGACAGCACGGCCGAGGTAATTGGTGATTGCAAAAGGCAAGCACAAAACAATGACAACAAGTTTTTAGGGTAACAGAGGAATTCTGGCGGCTGTTTGATACCAGTGGGGAACCAGCATTTGTAATAAAGAAAATAATATAGAGATTGAATTCTGAAGCAAGAAATAGGCCTATTTACAAGTAAACTATAGCGATATTTAATTTTAAGTTATTCTTCATAAGCTGACCATATAAAAGAAGAAAAAAAACGCCATAAAAAAGCAATCTACCATATACATGCATATACACACATGTATCCACATATATGCGCACAAAAATATACGTGCCCACACACACACACACACTATCTATATATATGTGTGTGTGTGTATAAAGTTGATCGACAACGGTCGGAGACCGCCGATCAACCCCTATAGGTTGAACTGACCGAGGGGCAGACCCCCATTCCAATCTGTGTGCTATTTGAATCCTCTCGAAAGGGCTGGGATTCGAACCCTCGACCCGCGGGTCTTACACCAAGGCCGTTACCAATGAGTCAGGGCTCGCGCACTCTATATATATATATATATATACACACACACATATATAGGGGTGATACATATATAGATATCTACATATATGCAAATATATACATACATATAGAGATTTACAAATGTAGCACATAATTCTTATGTATTTACATATCTCACACCAAAACTTTCATATTTACCTACATATCACTTCAATGCTTTAAATCAATGCATTAAAATGTGTATTTCACTTTTAAGAAGTTGTAATACTATTATTTTTATGTGGTATAAAATATTGGAGTGCTATTTGTGTAAATATTAAAGTTCAGCTGTGAGATATGAAAATACATTCGTATTGTGTGCTATGTAATTAAATGCCCAAAAAAAAAATACAATGAAACTGTGATACCTTATGCCTGAGACATCAAGTGACCTTCACATACATACCTTTTTCACGCGCTCCTTAATGGAATTCAAAGCCCGGGATTGATCAACTTTTGACAAATAGAAATCGCGTTCCCTCTTGGCCGCAGAAATCTCCATGGCTAATTTTTGCTCTCGAGCACGGTTTTTATTCGCTACATTATTTAAATCTCGAGTCAGTCATTTAACTGTAGGAAGGCTTACAAACATCGCACTCAATTCCTATGTATTTACATATCCACCATCTAAACTTGAATTTTTACATACAGGACACTTTACGTACGCATGAAAAGGTGCATTTCACTGTTTAAAAGTTAAAATAGTAGTATTTTTTATGCAATGTGAATAATTTAGGCATTATTAATGTAAAATGTAAAGTTTAGGTGTTAGATATGTAAACACATAGGAATTGGATGGTACATATGTAAATGCTCCTTAACTGTCAATAGAATGTTGTACAGGTGCAGCTACCTTTTCAAAACGCTGGCTTACCTATTTCATTAGTCAAATCCTCCCACTTAAATTTACTCAAGTACTTGATATTCCAAATATCATAATAAAATGTTGATCTCCGCCGCCCACCTAACTTGGCAAAAAATATACAATAACTCAAATATATTTAGTTAAACTGAATTGATCCGTCTATTCAGAAAACAAAGTGCTCAAGCAACTTCATTGGAAATTTAGAAGAGTCCAACACAACATCATTTCATGTGCTTATATTAAAGAGAAAATGAATCTAAAAAAAAACCAACTGAATGAAGAAACCCATAAAATTAGAAGAAAAATTTTCTATACGAAAATGAAAAAAGAAAGATGCATTTACATACATATCACCCATTTTTATGTATTTACATGTCTCACACCAAAATTTTACTCTTCACATTTATAACACCCAATTCTTATATCGCATTAAAAATACCACAATTTCTATTTTTTTTAAAAGTTAAATACACATTTTCATGCATAGATAAGGTGGCATAGAGTTAAAAATAGAAGCTTAGCTGTTATATATATAAATACATAGAAATTGAGTGGTATCTATGCAAAACTTTCAAAAAGAAAATGCATAAAACAGCTCAATAATGAAAATATTAGCAGATAAACTTAGTCTTTTAAATAGGTGAAGCAGCTAATAACATAAATAGTACAGATAATAACCAGCGTAAAATAAATATCAATCTCTAAGCATCAACTGGCACCTTCATCTCATGCCAAAAAAGTATTAATTAATTTCATCTAGCAATAAATTTAAATTTATCACTCTCTCTAGCAGTGAATCAAAGAGCAAAAACTCAAATAAGAAATAAAGAAAAAAATGCACTTAATATTTTTCAACAAACAACTATTCCACATGCAAGAGTTACGGGTGGCAACTTTATATATGCAATTTGATGGGTCCAAGAAAAAGAAAACAAAAAAAGATAAAACATATCCTTTACTATAAAATATTAACCTAGGTAAAGCTTCTTTGAAGTAAATTTCTCGAAATGATTCAATTTATGATTGCGTTCCTCGCCATAACCTGAAGTTTATTTTCCTAATATATCAAGATAAATATATCCATTACATGCATATCTTTCTAACAGAAGAAAAGTGCAGCATGAGAACCAAACTGAGAACATTAAAAAGCATCAGCGAATAATTTCTTTAAACAGGATTGGATAGTATAAAGGTTCAAAATGCCAAAAATCCTAATTAGCTTCTTACAGGAGGAACATATAACATATTGCCTACTGTGAATTCGTAGAAACAGGACACTATAAATTTCAAATCATATAAAATATGGAAATTTCAAAAAAAAAAAAAAAGAAAAAATAAATATAAGAAAACCTTTTACTTTTTCTCTTAGAACCATCAAAAGTATAATAGTACGATATGAGAATACATACCAATTTGTTCACCATTTAGCATTCTAGCAACTCTTTTGGCAATCCTTTTATCAGTAAACTCGACCCACCTAAAATACAAGAGATCAAATATTTAAACATGTTGCTCCACAAACAGTAAATAACTAGAATAAGGTCAGTTCAAAACTTAATATATTTAAAAGAATTTCAATAAATGCCATTTATTGAGTTCATTTGCAAGCTTCTGCCCAAATTTCTACACTAACTACAAATTTCATTAATTTAGTATCTCGGTAGACAAATAAATTAAACAAATCTCTTCCAGTAAAACTTTTACATTTCAGAGGAAGTATAAGCTAACATGTACAATGGATATGCTTATAAGAAAACACTGTTCAACAAATCAAAACGTTACAAAAAATATATCTGAGCCAGAGAAAGAGAAATTTTGAACTAATTACCCTTCTGAGAATTGTTTTCCTCGAAATCCACGAACTTGCTTTCGTTGTACTTGGCCAGCATGATCTACAATATAAGCTAAATCAATTAATAATATACAATAGAAAAAAATATAGTAAAAACAATATCAAACAATAATCAAAACGGTATTCTGGGAATGATATTTCATGTCATTAAGTGATTGATGAAAAGTACACAACCAAAAATTGCACAAATTTATGTGAAACTTAGTCATCCTCTTCCCTTCCTTCCTGAAGCTCAAATTGTTCATTATTTAAAAGCAGCTCAATTAAAAAGAAAACATCCAAGCAAAAGCTCAAAGCAGAAATGGGAGCAGACTCATATTTAATTCTAATGAGGTGAACACGCCAATTAATAGAAAGAGTAGGTAAATTGTGCTTAAAACATAAAGCAAACCCACACAAAAGTAGGTAAATTTAAAAATCCCATAGTCTTCGCAATCCATGCCATCTCCTAGAAAGAATTTCCAAATTTGCAACTTCGACCAAAAAACTCTTGGATAATTCTGGAGCAATAAAAACAATGGGGTTTGTGGAGCTATAAAAACAATGGGAGTTTACATCCATGGCATTTAAAATATATATGGTTTTATATATTTTACACTCAAGGTTATATTTAACACTGTCGTTGCCGATCCCAAGCCCGGATGCGAAAAATGGAGGGTTGCGTTAGGTAGTTGACAGCCAGCGTAAAACTTGTCGAAAAAATCATGACATGAATCATTTTGATCTTTGTGTAAAAATAGGACGCAGTGGAGAAAAAAGATTCATGTAGCCGACCTCACGTAGTGGGATTAAGGCTTTGTTGTTGTTGCTGTTGTTATATTTACTATCACAACACCTAAATTTTTATTAATAGAACAAAACTAACACTCTCCATGAAAACTTTTCATTTAAGCCTAGGATAGACAATAAATCAATTAAGAGCTAACTTTTCATTGTGATTCTATTTAACGATCAGATTAAAAAGAGCAGATTGTTAAGGTTAACGCCAAAGCAGTTGTATCCCAATTTATAAAATAAAATATAATAATTAATCATAAAGCTTAATTGAATAATTCTAACTGAATCAATTGTTCTAAAGCTAAAGGAATGATAAATGAGATAACACATTATTTCCATTTACATATCTATGACATTTCAAGAAGATAAATGCAGAGAAGGACATAACTCGACTCTAAGAAGATGGTACATATAACTGAACCGTGGAGTGCTACCTCCACGCCAATATTATCTATGTTGATTACATAATCAATCCCGATCAAAAGACATTAAATAAATATTTTGCGAAGAAGCCTATCTAAGCTCATTAAAGGGTGTCACCAATGACTGAGAAAATTTGAGGAAGCAAGAGGGATGAGACGAAGGCAAAGTGAGGGCTATTGAAAATGGAAAGAAACTAGCGACAAAGTGAAGAAATGATAAACAGGATAACAAGCTGTTACTTTTGTTGTCCTGTAACAATTTAGGTTTTATAATAGTAAATATAGGGTTTTGAGTGCGAAACATATATTGATATAAATACTCATATTCAAAGTGCTATGTATGTAAAATCACCTAAAAATAAATATTTTGTGAGATTAAAAGTACGATACATTGTAGCAATTTTTAAACCCTTTTAGGGCATGGACCATTAGCCATAGCACCCTAAGTTGCAAAAGCCATTTTAGATAATAATCACATAAAAACTCATAAGCTTTAGCTAATAGCAAGGGAATCATAAGACCTTAAACTAAAAGTTATGCAAATTTATCATGTTTTCAAATATTGTGGCAAAACCATCTGGTTGAACTCCTTGATTTTTAATCTTAACGGACTCGAGAACTCACCAAAATGCTCTAACAAGTTGAGGCACGATGAAGCAAGAACAAAGGATCTCGCACACCATGCAAGCAAGAGTGTTGCTTAACCAATCAACTCATGTTAAGGGGAAGAAAATGAGAAGCACCTTGCCATGATTGAAGAGATGGAAGTTCATGATTCAAGAAACTGGATATGAACTATTTTTTTAATCTGAAAATTTGATGGCTTGATATGAAAAAAGCATCAAGATTTAGGAACAGGGAAATGCATAGAAAACATTCTCAGTAAATCATAGGTGCAAGAGCTTAAAGATCTAGTGCTAAATCTTGTTAAGATGACTGGGAGACAAATGCTAAATATCCAACAAAAGAGATGACAGCAAATATGATAACAAGAATGAAAATATTTAATTATACCAAAACATGCATGATCTAGGAAGCACGGGCACCACGAAAAAGGAGTTCTGACACGTGTCGAACACGAGCATGGGTTCGATACGGGTAGATACGTATCTGACACACCAAAAAACACATTAGAGACTTCTTGGCATTTGACATTGCATCGAGCAAGGAAGCGGAACATGGGAACTTAAACGTGAGCTTGTCTTAGCCTTGTGTCAAAAAAGAAAATCAAGCAACAACTCAAAATTGAAGCCATAGCGTTCTTGAGCAGTCCTCAGTAGCTCTCCAACATTCTCGAACAATCCTTAGTTGCCATCTATTGAAGCCAACGGTGAGGTCATCAAGCGGCTCTAACAGAAGCAATCTCATCGTCGACGATCCAGCCTAGAGTTCCTAGGTTCCCACCTATCTGAATATTGAACCAAGCGTGATGAAGGTTTGTGATTTTAATCTAGAAGGATTCCTTTAATTACTATAGGATTTTCACTTTTAGGGGATATTTGGCTACACCAAAGATTTAACAAATAAGATTTAATAGTTCCTGTAATTCAAATTTATCACTATAAAGTTTCATTAATGTTTGCATATTTTGTTTTGTGATATTTTTATTGTTGTGAAAAATGACGGCCAAAAAGCGAAAAATCAGATCGAGAAAAATTCGCAAAACAGAAAACCGTGAAACACACAGATTTACGTGGTTCGGTAAATTGTCTACAAAACAGAAAACAGTGAAACACACAGATTTACGTGATTTGGCAAATTGTCTGTGTCCACGGAGCTGCAGAAGATTTTATTAGCTTGAGAAATTACACCCGTCGATGACCTCGACGATTATAAGAAAGTACTTTTTCTCTCTCATCTCATCCTCTCCCTCTGTCTCTCTCTCTACTTGAGAGCTTCAAATCGAAGCACACCAGAAGAAGAACCTTGAAAACTACCAATGCCGAAGAGAAAGTCTGGGAAACCAAATCCCGAAAGAGATAACAAGAGGAGCTAACATGTCTATTTATTTATTTCATCATGTCATTAGGCCTATTAAGAAATTAATCAAATAATTAATGAAGTTCATTAATTATTTCATTTTCTCTTCTGCAGCAAATCGTAAAAGAAATTAAGAGCAATTAATTTCGAATATCAAATTCAATTTGCTGTCAAACGTGAGAAAATGTAAATTTGAACAGTGAACCGGTTTTCATATTCATAAAATATTAAAATATATATTTATATTAATAAATTATTAAATATAAAAAAAAATTCTATGTTGTATCGTGTCCTGCTTTTACAATTATGTCGTGTCGTCGCATCATGTCATGTGAAGTATGTGTCCATGCGTTTGTGCCCGTGCTTCATAGAGGATGCTACAAAATGTGCGTCTCACTTCACTTGAACATGGGCAAAGAATGGCATCGAAAAATCCAGTTAGCAATGATTCTAAATAAATTTCATGCAATAAGATGGAAAATAGAGGTTTTTAGTATTACAGGTCACTCAAACCTTTACCTTTTCATTTGCATTTAATCCGACAATGAGAAAGTTCAAATTCAGGAAATTAAAGACAATATACTTTTAGTGCTTGTGACCAAGCAGCTCTAAACAAAGTGTTTGCACCTCTTTCCAGAAACTAACACAAATTGAGATGAACATGTTTAATCCATGAGAAAAAATAATAGTTGAACAAAATATCAAAATTCTTAAATTAATATGCGGATCAAGGAATATTAAGGAATTTTTTTTAAAAAATAGCATGTTACCTTGGGGAACGAGATATATCCTCTGTAAATCTCCATACTTAGAGAGGATTTGGCGAAGGCTAGCCGGATCCATGTGGGGTGGAACCCGACTGAAGTAGCAGATACCGCGCTTCTCTGTCGAACTAATAAGATCTTTTCGTGATCTTTTCTTCTTCCTGACATGAATGTCCTCACCGTGCTCGTTTGATTCGATTACATCTTCAGAGCTACAATAGCTAGTTTCTCCCATGCTGGTTTATGATGGGATATCGTGGTATTTCCACAAAAGATCTCCGCGAATAGTAATTGAACTATTTCGTTCTCGTTGACGAAATAGGCCACGCCGGCGAGATGGTTAAACTGTCGCAAAGAACAGAGGATAGTGCAGAAGATGGGAAAGAGAAAGTAGGGGATCGATTTTGCGAAATCTAAACAAGTGACAGTGGTGGTTGAATACTAGAGATGTCGCAGCTGGCGCGCAGAAACTTCGAGCAACGGAAGGGTACCGCGTTCTTTGGTCGTGTATTTTCGCAGCTTCCGGCGTCTCCAGTCGGAGTAAACCAATTTTTTTCGCTTTAAGGGCTACCTTCGTCGGCGACTCGGCTTCCTGGCTTCTCTTTCGGCAACAGCTTGGACCACGCGAGCGAAGAGAAAGGAGGCGAAGAGGAATCGGGATCAAGGGGGAGAAACACCACACGTACCTTGCTCAGCGGTTTCAGGTAGAGAGGAGAAATATGGGAGTTTCGGTGGTCTTTGAAGGAGGTGAGGGTTTCCGGCCAAATGGGAGAGGTTTTTGGGAGGTGGACGCGGGTAGTGCCGGGGAAGAAAAAAAAAGAGGAGGAGAAGGAGGTGTGCACGCCTCAATCCCGTCGTTGTGGCTCTTAGCGCGACTGTATGGGGGGGAGGAGAAGGAGGTGAGGGTTTCCGGCCCACGCTTCAATCCCGTCGTTGTGGCTCTTAGCGCGACTGTATGGGGGGGAGGAGAAGGAGGTGAGGGTTTCCGGCCAAATGGGAGAGGTTTTTGGGAGGTGGACGCGGGTAGTGCCGGGGAAGAAAAAAAAAAAGGGTTAGGGGTCTCTATATTAATTTTCAATAATTTGATTTATTTAACAAAAATTACCTTTAATTAGTATATATTGGATAATTGTGCAAAAAAATAATTAATTAATATAATATCATGATAAATAATTCTTTTTTGATTAATTAAAAATTTTAAATTATTTGAGAATCTCTTGTTATTTGGTGGGTGATAAATCATGATGCTAGTATAATCACATCTTGGTTTTATTCTTAATTGAGAAAGTGAATAGTTTTAATCGAGCGACACCCTTGGAGATATTATTAAAATTCAAGATGACATGGATTTCTAAAAAACTAGCCAAGTTGAGATATGAGTCTTCGATGTGTGTTCCCCCAAACTAATTTGTTTGAATCCTTAAAATAAGTTGAGGCCTAAGTTCATATGTTGGTTTCAAGTGGTCAATGTTCACATAAATCACTTATACACGAGCAATAAAAAGTATGCAAAGAGAGTCCAAATTCTAAAGCTGAGATTAAAAAAAAATGAAAAAATAAAGGGGTAACTCAACGACTGAATATAAAAAATGGAATCGTAGAAACAAAAATAAAGATGCAAACATTTTTTTTATAAACAATAACACAGCTGAATAACAACGAAAATACAAATTAACAAATAAATAAGTTATAATTCATACATAAACTCTAAGTATGTCAACTAAAATTCTCATGAAGTCAAAAAATTTGTACTCATTTCCATGATAGCGACAATAAAAACTTGTTCAAATTTATGGTTATGCAAATCGGTTAATCATGCTAGGATACTTGTCGATCCATGTATTATGAGTCCGCCTATCGATCCTACAAGAAAGTTATCAAAATATCAGGCACGCTAGCCCCTCTAGATAGTGTCACAAGCATGCAGCATAGAAATGCAGGAGCGTGTCAATGGCAGTGTAGGATAGAATTTCTTTTTTTTGAATTAGCCTTTGGTGGGTCGGTTTCCGACGCAACACCACCGGGCTAGAATTCCCTCTTTTCCATTTTTTGCTCCCCAATTTGTATATTTTGTTCTCCTGAGTGGCTTAATCCCTTAAAATCTATAAAACACAAAAAAAGCATTCCTCGAGTGTAACGCTGTCATGAATATGTAATAAAACATTTATTTTTGTTAGGGAAAATCTCACGCATTTCATCCACATTAGGTTTCTAATTATGTCGGGTCGACTGCCTCCGCGAAACAAGTAGACATAAGATTTTAGTTGTTTTGGATGAAGAATCTATGAAGTTTTGATCACACTTTTCTCCACCTATCTATGAATTTCCTACATATTTATCGATATATCCATTTTGTAGTCATTTGACTCCTTTGATAATTTCATTGATAATATTTTATATACACATTTTTGTTGATAGGTTATTGTCCACTTGAGATACTGTGATTCACCCTCTCCCTTATAACCCAATTTTTATTTCAAGTTTTGGTATAACCCTATTGAAATGATGACACTGATTTCTTAGCACTCCATTTCACTAGACATCGAAATATAAGCAATACTTCTATAATCGAAAGCTTTTTCTAGTACTCCTCGACATGTAATTAACTGAATGAGCATATTCCTTTGAGAGTTGATCTTTACCCCATAAAAGAATACATAATAACTTTTGTTATTTGGTTATATATGTGAGGGATTTATATTGCCCTTCTTCGCGGATAAACTTTTAATGTTGTTTGGTTTGATTTTTTTTGGTATATGGTATTGATCTATCTCACGAAAACCATCTTTAAAAAAAAAAATTCACCCCATTCCCTTTCTTTTTGTTTTTGTCAAAGTTTATTTTATATTCTCCCCTTCTATTTTTTTTGATTAATTTAATGATTGACGAAAGCAGGTTTTTATGGAGAGAGGAACTGCAGTCAAAATTAAACAAGTTGACAGCTTCGAGTTTAAAAAAAGAGAAAAAATAGTCGTCTCAAGAAGCACAACGCTCGAAGAAAACTTAATAAATTTTATTTATCCAACATAAATATTGTATGAATAAATGATTATTCTCAGGCAAATAATTCATATAAATATGTAGATGCTTGCATATCATTTTATATTATGATCATCTTTTTTATGTTTTCATTAATACATTGATTGTTGTAATTTGTATCATCATTTACTAAATTGCACCACAAGATGCTATTTATCTTATATGTTTTATTGAATAATCATATTTATGGTTTCATGTTAGTTGTATGAACTTCTTGAGCACAACACGCTTTCATTTTATCGCGGGGTGAGCATACAAGAGTGTTTAGCTAATCAAAAAAGTCATAAATGTGAAGTTGATTTCATCAGGAAAACAATATATGCACATATAAACATAATTTGAGCCAGGTTTAGGTTGTCAATGCACATAAATACTAATCTTCGTTCCAACTATTATTGCACAACAAATGTTGAATTTTGGAAGAATTGATTACTTCAATATCATCAAAGGAAATCTTGATGTGTACTGTTATACATCATCATTAATTATTGTCCCAATTGCTTAGCTTGCTTCAAGTAAATACTAATATATAAACTTTTGTTGTTCATTTGACTTGTAGTACCAGAGGCAACAATATTTACTCTTAGAAGTAGGGCTGTCAAAACGGCTCGTGTTCGGCTCATTAAGAAGCTCATGTTCGGCTCGTTAATTTTGTTCGATAAGTTAATTAACGAGCCGAACACAAACATCACGAACCATAATTGTTCAGTTGGGCGAGTCTTAAAATATCTTAAATTAAACTTAATTAATTTTATTATGTAGAAAACTTGTTATGTGAACATGTTAAAACAATATGCATGACTAATCACAACAAGTGCATGAACAAAAAAAATGACATTTGGGCATAAGATTTTTATCTGGTTCAACAAACCTCAAACCTACATCCACGATCAACCAAACTTTTGACTAGGATTTCATTCAACCATGAACATGCAAACTACTTTTCATTGTGTAGTTAAGGACCCCTCGCAATAAAAACACATTTCTTTCTTTCTTGCAATGACAAGTATTACAATTAAAACTACACTCTTCAACAATGAATTAACACAAGCTCATCACAAAAAAATATAAAATAAAAAAGAAAAATATTGGGGAAGATAGGTAATCCAAAAAAAAAATGAAATGTATATTCAACACATTTAATGATATAAATTAAGTCAAATAACTCCATAGTAGGGGCAACCAAATCATGCTAAAATTGGATCATAGGATTAGTGAGCAAGTTTATGTAAGACTTCCATATTTCAATTAAAAATTGGAAGGAGAATCATAAAGTATGAAATTAATTTTGGTAAATAAGTAAAACTATGCCAAATTGATTAGTTATGTATGAGGGGAGAGCAAACCTTTTATAAAATACAACATTTTTTAAGGAAAGTATTTATGGAACTTAATTATAAATATATGAAAAAAATTTTGAATTTAAGATAATCTAAATTTGAATTTTAAAAGATATATATATATATTATATATATATAAATGTATGTATATAATTAACTCTGCAATATTTGACAAGTTATCATGAAGAATATATTAGAAAAAAATATTAAAAAATGAATTTGAACTTACATGCACAATTGAGAAAATTCACATGACATAAATTTATTACATACTCAAGATCAAATCAAACAAATAAGAGCATGCAAATTTTGGCCATGTAAAAGATTTTCATGGTAGAATCATTATGGATTATTCAGGGGAGAGAAAACCCAAATTAAAATATTTTAAAAAGATAATCCAAGTAATTAGATGATTATGTAATTAAGTAACTGATTAATTAATAGACCGCGATTATGTATCATGAATGCATATAGCTAATGAAGCTAACTTAATATGCATATGTATAATGCATGAATTAATTCACTTGTTAAACTAATAATCCAAAATCAATTAATATAATGATTTAATTAATTGAAAGGAAAATTAATTTGGTATTCAAAGAAGTTAAATAAAACATGGAGAAAAATTATAAAATAAATTTGCATGTATTTTTTAGTTTGAATAATTTTATCTATCAATTTATGCAAAATCAGTGCATCATACCAAAATAATCAATTTAATTTCTAATATGATTGATTAAAATGGTTGATTGAACTGAGCTTGATGTTCTACTTGAACTATTTACAATGCAATCATCAAAATCATGCACATGCACATTCGCTATCATTGAAATCTAAAATGTTAAAACGTATGACTCATGAGGCAAATAATATAAACCAAGCAAGGGATGATGAGGCTAGTTGATTGTACTGGATCAACATGCTAAAGTTCGGGTGAAATGGCTGACCTGATTCTGTACTCAGCAAAACAATTTAGAAAATTTTATTAGCGAAATTATCGGGTTGGAATTGTTAATATTCGCATATCTTTTTATGCATTTGATCATAGGATTAACATTTTAGAATGGTTGGCTCATGTGTTAGTGCTTTCGAACAACACATTTACACATTTACCTTGGCTAAAATAACCCAAGTATTTATACAAACATCTATCTTTTGCCACTTTAAGCCAACAATATAAAAATTCTAAATATTTGCAATTTGAAAATTGCAAAACACATCTAGTCTTTAGAAAAAAAAAGCCAAAGGGAAAAAAGAGAGACAATTAGTGCTAGGATTTCAAAACCATTAATTTCTATAAAGGATATTTAGACATGTACCACAAAAGTTTTATATATTTACATCTTGGTTAATTAAACTTTTCTTTTATATTTATACCACACAAATCTTTCATATCACATTAAAAAGTTAAGAAAAGATAATTATTTCAACTTTAAAAATTTAGTACACATTTTAATGAGTAGACAAGATGACATAAATCTATACATATATTGAATTTTGATTTTCTGTGAATCATAACTCAGGAGTTAGAGCGTAATATATGAGAGAGAGAGAGAGAGAGAGAGAGATGTATAACAATGAACAATAATTTTTCTTATCGATTAGCATTTTCTCTTAAAATAATCCTCTCGATGTAGATGTAAGGACACGATATGAGAAGTTACATGTTTGCCCCAAATTTAATGAGGGCATTATATGATATCATATGTATTTTACATGCACGGTCCTATTACTTGGCTACACCGACTTGATCGGTTGAGCATGGTAGGCTTTGGTTGGACAAGACTTGCTTGGTCAATTGATCTTATTTGACTTTGGGTTAGCAGGACTGAGTTTGGTCGGCCAACTATTGCGGATCAGCTGAGCTAAACTCACCATCAACCATTGATCCTTGTACGAGAAGCTTCCTTCAGTACAACGAGATTAGGTTATCGGTATAAGACGAATCATCGTAAACTCATAGATGAATTATTTATATACTAGGGGGTCATTTGTGATCCTTGCAGGCTATGTTATTGCATATTATTAACCTCCAACGAAGAACCGCAAGAAAGTTCATCCTTGCTCTGGAAGGTTTACACTTAGTTGACATTCAACCCTAGTTAAAAGGATTGCATCTAGTCAAGTAAGTGGGTCGTTTGGTCCTTTGTCAGTAAGCTCTTCTTATTGTATCTTTTTATATTATGGATTGTTGAATTTCCTTGAGATTCATAAAATTGAAGACCGATAATGAGATTTACAAACACGTAAGAGTTGACTGACATTTATGCAAATCTTCCTATTTACATTAGAATTCCAAAACATATACACTAATTTTTCAATGATCACTTAATGAAATGAAAGGTAAATTATCTTTGAATTTCATCATTAAAGAATCATTTTATCAACATACATTAATAAATAACCGTGAGTTATTTTCATATATTGTCTTATAAGATAAATAAAATGACATAAAATCAACTTATTTATTCGACAATATGTAAATTCATATTTCAAAATCACGACGTCCAAACAAATTGGGCCCCACATTAATTCTCCCGGTTATATATTTCTATTTTCCACTTCAGTAATTGAGAGGAAGAAGCAAGTCCCCACTATGCCTGATCCGACGGCCGTAGTCCTCCCATCACGGCGCCTATGAATTTAGGCCACACGATTATCTCTGGCTGTTGACCGTCCGATGACATCTACCGATCCATCTGTCCGTTCAATATTAGAATTTGATTTTCAAAAGCAGAGGGAGAGAGAAAAATCATATAGAGAGAGAGAGAGAGGGGAAGAGGAAGCTTTAGCTACCCCTTCTGCTTCCCCTTCTCAAAAAATTTTCCCGCAGCTTTTACAGAGCAGTGGCGAGAGTAGAAACGGCGGGATAAGGCGAAATTAATCCCGAAAAATTCGTTTTTTTGGTTCTTCGGTGAGCCCCCTTTCATTTGCCGGATCTCCGCCTTGCGATTCTTGTCCGGGTGGCTGGATTTCACCTCCATTCGATCGATTCCCGCCGGCTGCATCCGTGTTCTATCTGGCTGAAAGAATTGAGGGGAAGAGGTTGGATTGATGGGGAAGAGAGGTTGTTCATAGAGGAGGCGGGAAGTTTGTGTTTTGAGGTATAGTTGGCTCTCGCGTTATCCATTTGTTTTGAAATTCAATGGAGCAAGGAATTCAATCGGCTTCACCTACGGCTTCGGATTTGCCTTCAAAGAAGCTGGTTCGGCAGCTGGATTTCACGTCGGCGCACTGCGGGGTTCCGGCGGGGACTCTGCCCCATGAACATCAGCAGTTACAACCGTTGCAGAAGCAGATGAACGCGCCTCCGCTTCCCGTGCCGCGCTCTTCGATTCCCACGTCCATGTGAGCTTAGATGAATTCAAAATTTTTATTTATTTTGATTTTAACGTCAGGTTCAGATTCATTGTTGATAGGTTTTGCGCGCAAATTTTTTTTGCTATTTTTTCATTTCTAAATATCGTATTTTCTGTATCTATTCTGAATCCGTTTTTGTTTTTGTTCTTACTTTCAATGATTTGGCGTCACATTCTTTGTGATTTTGGTTCCTGGATTTTTGAATTTTGAGGCGTTTTCTGGTTGATTTGGGTTTTTTCTTCTTTGCTGAAGTGCCGTCAATTGGATCTTTCTGCTGATTTTAGAACTTAATGGATGGTTTCTGCGATTCAAAATTTATGGGAAAAGCGGAAAATTTTCTCCATTTGAACTAAAAATTCCAGTTGGATTGGGGGATAGGGCTCATTTGAAACTCTTGCAAGGCTGCAAATTGCAAATTTTTTTTTCCTGCAAATTGTTTACCCTGCAGTTACCTAATTTACAGGGATTAGTGGCTAGATTAAATGTGTAAGATTTTCCTCTTTGGAAATAAAAGATTTTTGATCGGTATCCAGCATTTCTGAAGATTAAAATGATAAGGTCATAGTTTCATAAAGTTTTCTAATCAGATTCATATCCTGTTTGCATGATTTCTTGAATTTTTTATAGCTAGCTTAGTATATTCATTAGCATTTTTTTCAAAATAGGGGCATTTACATACATACCACCCAATTCCTATGTATTTAAAATGCAAAACCTAAACTTTATTTCTTACATTTATACTTCCCAAATCTTTTATATCACATTAATGATACCACGGTTTTTAAACTTGAAAAGTGAAATACACTTTTTCATGCATATGCATGATGGCATATATGTAAAAATTGAAGTTTAGGAGTTAGATATGTAAATACATTATGGTTTGCATGTAAATCTTCCTTCAAAATATATATGAATATTCATTTTTGGCATAACTCCCTTTGTAATGTGGTTATGTGATCTTCTGCAGAAAACCCGAATCTCCAAAAGGAAGGTCAAGGCCTTTATTTGAAATGAAAGAAGGTACTCCAACACGAAAAAAGAACTGCAACTGCAAACACTCAAGATGCTTGAAGCTGTGAGTATGCTGGATACTAACAATTTTTAAGGGGAAATTTACATACATACCATGCAATTCTTATGTATTTACATATCCAATGCCCAAAGTTTTATATTTACACTTATAACTCATTAGTGTCATAAATCCATGCATGGAAAGGAGAATTTCGCTTTTAAAAAGATAATGATTGTGATATTTTGATGTGATACTAAATATTTGAGTGTTGGATATGTAAGTACATAATAATTGTGTGTTATGCATGTAAAGACCCCATTTTTAAATTATTATTTTGGTAAGTTAGTCTGTGGAGTGTGGACTAACAGCTGAAATTGTTGTAGGATTTGAAATAAGTATCTGAACCTATAATATATTTACATTTTGCAAGATTTGGATAAGACACTACCTTTAACATAGTTGCAGTATTATTCAAATATTTTTCTATCAATATATTATATTTCTATGATTTTATGTGGTTCATGTTTCCCGGGAATTTTAAAATCTTTTATATTCCTTGAAGCTTTTGCACTTACATTTGATTTAACCATATTATACACTCTACATGTCAAAATTATAAATTTTTAGCGTAGACTAACTATTGTGATTCGCAACTCTTGCCATTTAAGCTAATAATTTTCAAGTTTATTGTGAAAGTTAATTACATTTTGGTTCATCCAAAATTAAACTAGACTAACCAAATTACAGTTCTGTTGGGTTTGGAAATTAGCATGGCCGGCTTGGTCTTTTTAATTTTATGGCTGAAATCAATTGATTTTGTTAATTTGCAAATCAAACCATCCTAAATGATCAAATGCACACCCCAAACTTCAAAGCAAAAAGACACCAGTCATTTTTCTTCACATGTTCCTATTTGAAAAATTGTTTGATGTCTTCAAGATACATGCTTCTCTTTCAGAAGGAATTGGAACTTATTCAATTTAAACCATGATTTCAATTTTAATTTGAATGCAGGATAATTGTTTGTACAATTATGTCATTTCATTAGTAAGTTTCTCATAAATAGACTAACTGTTTGATTATATATGGACGCATGTGCCGTGGTAGTCAGCGTTGGTACAAATCTTCAAGTTGTGATTGTTATGTAAAATTACCCAAATTTTTTTAAAAAAGGTGTTTTTTGTAAAAATGTGCCCGCTGGTTTGATTCCAACCTTTTGATTATTGTTAGTAGCTTTGTATACCTTACAGTGTGGAGCTTTATTAGGATTATTTTTTACTTATTTTATTAAAAAACATTTCTATACATCGTTGTGCTCTATTAGGTATGTTTACTCTTGGTTCCCTTGTTTCTTTGGCAGTTTGTTTATTAATGTGGTATTTCATCATCTAGCTTTTACATTTTTGAGGTATTTACATACATAATATCTATATCTAATTCTTAATGTGGTCTTCAATATATCACCCAATTCTTATATATTTGCATATCTAACACCTAAACTTTACTTTTATATTTATAACGTTCAAATTTTTCATATCACATAAAAAATATCACTGTTTAAATTTTAAAAAGTTGAATACACTTTTTGATAACATTTTTGTAAAAAATGAAGTTTAAGTGTTAAATATATAAATACATAAGAATTGAGTGGTATTTATGTAAATCTTCCTACATTTTTTTCATCATTTCATCATGCATTTTTATGTTGTTCTAAATATAATAACAAACTCATAGGTATTGCGAGTGTTTTGCATCCGGTGTTCATTGTGATGGGTGCAATTGTGCAAATTGTTGTAATAATGGCGAGAATGAAGCTACGAGGCGCGATGCCATTGAAGCTACTCTCGAGCGAAATCCCAATGCCTTTAGGCCTAAGATTGGAAATAGTCCCCATTCAATTCGAGATAGTAAGGTATATTATCAACAAGCTCCCATCAATTACTTACTTCATTGTTTTTTATTCATGTTTTTTATCAACTAGCTATTTTTTTTTTGCATTATTTATCTTTATGGTTTAAACTATCACTGAAGATGTAATATTTGTGGTTGTATATCAACTTTTGAAAATATCTTTAGAGTATATGTTAAATATTTGCATCTATATGGTAATTTATAATTTATATGCTTACATGTGGATTCTATGTTGATCATCGTGGGTGTTAGCTATCTAGTTGAACTTGAAACTTAAATTTAATTTTGATGATCAGACTTAATTTTTTTAAAGGATGTTATGTAGATATATATAATCAACTGAGTAATTTAACATATTTTCAAACAAAATTTTCTTCTGTTGTTGGGCTTTTGGTGTTGTTTATTAAAAATAATTCTATTACCTTTTATCTTATTGATCTCTACTTGATGTATAGTTTGTGATGTCTCAATTGATATCAAAGGATCAGGCTCTCCTTAAATAAGTTCTCTCTCTGTTTTTTTTTTTGCTGAAATTTACAAAAGGTTAAAATTCAAAATATAATGTGTTTGGGATCATTTGCAAGTACAACTATTCTTAATCCACCGAAATTTGAAGCCAAGCTCCATATTAGTTCATTAATAGTTGATGCTTTGATAAATTATGTTTTCTATTATATTTAAAGGACAAGTAATTGGGTTCAATTTTTTAATGTAAACTTTGTCAGTGAAATGGTTAAATTCTCGGTCCAAATAATTTTGGTTTATTCACAAGAAATTATTCATGTATGCAAATAAAGTAGACTTCTGACAATTAGAATCATAAGTTCTAGTCATATATTTGATATGCCATGTTAAAATCAATAAGGTTACAAAAAGAGGAGCTGAAGTTTGCAAGTTGATTAGGTGTGTTAAAAATTGATTAGACACAACAACCTGACCAAAACTTGACTAAAAATGGTAGGGTTTAGTTTGACTTGATTAACTTTTGGGTCAAGTACAATTCTAAATCTGACTCAACCCATTTAAATTTTGGGTCGGGTTTGAGTTGTTATGTCAACTAAAAATTAACCCGAATTTGATGTAAATTGTTGTTATGTCCCAAGTTAAATATATTATGCGGGTTGTGCTTGGGTCAGTTGGGCTGATGTCAGATTAGATTCACGTTAAGTTTTTTTGACCCATTTAAGAAACGAGTTGGGCTTGGGTCATGTATATTCTGGTCAGGCCAATTTTGATTCACACCTAAATTCGACCAGCCGACATTGACACCCCTAAGTTAAATCATTTTGCTCGAATTAGCATGATGAATAGAAAAATATGGAATTTATTACTATTATTTCTCTTGATTGAATCAGGGTTGGTACAAACTTTCATAACTTCACTACTTTTTTATACTAGGTGTAAGTATTTTTTTATAAACATTAATCAATATAACAAGTTGATGAGTATGCATAGCAATGTGTGCTTTGATATCTGATATTAATGCATATTATTCTTCATTATCTTTGCAATGAATGTGAAAATTATTGTTATCTCTAGATACTAGGTTTTTTTGCAAGGCCAAATTCTATTCTTTACTGCATTGTATAGCTACTTTTACACTATTAAAATTAAGTATTTGTTGGAAATTTTTTATTTTGAACCTTTAATGTACCAATGTTGATCATGGTGAAACTCTTGAACAAGTATCTATAATTTGTTCTCTTGATGTGAGAAACTTAGTTTTAACTTCGCTTGATTTTTTTTTTAATTTTTTTTTTTTTGATAAAGTGACAATTGATCTTCATTTGTTTTAAATAGTTGTAGATATTATTTAGCCAGATTAGTTTTAAAAATTATGGAAGTTTTCGTTCTGTATTCAACTCCGAAATTGATCTTCCAATAGTTTTCATTTCAATACTTTTCTGAGATATCAGGTTTTATGCAAGGAGGATTTTGTAATATGTGAAAGAATTTTCATTTTTTTTATCTTTTACCTTATTTGTATAAGAACCTATCTCCTAGAGAGTAATGCTTTTTCCATTTTTAACAAACCTAACACTATGACGCATGGTTTCATTTGCATATCACATTCCTCTTCATGATCTTATATGTTCTTTGTCGGTTAATGTATAGACTGCGATGTTTTATCCACCACAAACAAAATATCAGCTTTGATGAATGTGAGATTTTATTTCTCGCGTATTGCTCTTAATCTTGTATTTTAAAACTAAAATATCTAAAACATAATTTTGCTACGTCACTTTTAGCTCGTGTGACTTTTATTTAATTATATTTTAAGAAAGCATTTCAAGTGCCTCAAGTGCTTGATTTTAAATTTTTTTGTGCAATAGGTCTTTAAGGCTACTTATCATTGTATTGCAAATTTCAGTAACAATGTTTTCATCAACATAGAGGTATGTTTTTGGGATGTTTTTCTTTTGTTAAGTGAAATAAGAATATTATAATGTTATTATTTTAATATCAAGATCAATAAAAAGGTTCAAGATATTTGCTTTAATGTATATATATATATATATTGTCCTTTTCAACTTGCATGCATGTCTCCCTAGATCAACTTCATGAAACTCAATTGGTTGTTCTATGTAAACATTCTCTTTGAATTCCTTTTACATAGCTAACACCTAAACTTCAGTTCTTAAATACATGCCACCTTACCTATACATAAATGGGTTTCGATTTATTTCACTATTTAAAAGTTAAAATGGGGGAATTTTTAATGTGATAGGAAAGCTTTGGGGGGTATAAATGTAAAATGTAAAGTTTAGGTGTTGGCTCTGTAAATACATGGGAATTAGGTGATATGTATGTAAATGCCCCTAAATTAAATAATTCTCACTAAAGCAATCTTCACCATGAAGCTGAAGGTCTCATCATAATCCTACCCATGTTGTTGAGTATATCCCTTAATAATAGGCTTAGTTTTGAATCTCTGAATAATCCCATTGGTTCTGTGCTTATGTTGCAAACCCATCTGCATCTAACAAAAAATTTATTTTTGGGCCTTAAAATTATTTCTCTTGCGTTGTTTTCTTTGGAAGTGCTGATTTTTTCATTCATGGCTTTAGCCCATCTTTTGATTTTGGCTCGACGTTCCTTTATTTTATCATGGATAGGGTTATTATTATTGGCATTGGCATTAAAACTTGAGGTATTTAATTGCATACCACCACATTCCTATGTCTTTATATATCTACTGCCTAAACTTTACTTTTACATTTATGCTACAAATCTATTATATAACATAAAAAATTCCACTATTTAACATTTAAAAGGTAAAATACACCTTTTCATGTACAAGTAAGGTGGGATATATGTAAAAATTAAAGTTTAGGTGTTGGATATGTAAATACATAAGAATTGGAGTGGTTTGTATGTAAATCTTCCTTTAAACTTCCATAATTCATGTTCCTTCTCATTGGACACGTAATTCTAGCACTAAAGGCTTCACAGTGCTTTGATTAAGACTTCTGATTTCATGTATTTTCTAGGATTAAGATCTTGTTTTTTCCTTTGATTTTAATGTATTAGAACATATGCTTCTAAATCATATTGCCGTTTCGTCTTCTTGAATGAATAGGTTTGAAGGGTGCAAAATGTTTAAGAACATGTTAGGATAGTCGATGAATAATATAACATGCTCAATCCAACTTTTGAGCTTATTCTTCATCATTTTGTTTTTTCGAGGGGTGTAAGGACAATATTATATTTTTGAATTACGACTATCAAAGAAGAAAATTTTGAATGTAGCGGATATATATTCACCCCTTTCATAATTGATTTTCAATTAGAAATGATTCCCAGTCAACCTTTTTATTTATAAAAGCACATGAAATATACTTTGCTTTTCCATTAGGAAATAAGGAAACATTTGAAGGAAACATTTGGCGGAGGAACCCAAGCACCTTTTTGCACCTATTCACTAGGCTTACTTGACTCCGGGTTTAAAACATGAAAGGCTAATCTAGTTTGCTTCCCATGGATACATGCTTCACAGACTTTTTTCCTTCCTATAAAGTTTTAAGGGAATTGAATTATGTTTAGGAAGATTTACATGCATACCACTCAATTCTTTTGTATTTGCATATCTAACACCAAAAGTTTAATTTTTACATATATGCCACATTACCTATGCATAAAAAGTTGTATTTCACTTTTTAGAAGTTAACATAGTGGTATTTTTTATTTGATTTGATAGGTGGTATAAATGTAAAATTAAAATTGAGGTGTTAGATATGTAAATACATAAGAATTGGACTGTATGTATGTAAATCCCCCTTATTTTCAATAAGTTTTTCTATCGAGTAGTTGGAGGCATGGATTAAACACAAATGCCATGGAATTTATAAGACTTGGCAGTCGACGTACATGGATGATAGTTGAAGTTTTCTTTTTTGGCCCATAATCTTCTTTTCTTAAATATGTATTCACGACCTTCTTAAATAAACAAACACAACCTTCTTCTATTTTTCCTTCAAATATACACGAAAATTGATAAAGGTGTATTCACATTTATAATCCTTAGTTAATGCATTGATATTAAAAAGTATTTGGACTTAGGAATAAGATGTACATCCTTTTGTTGTTAATTTCCTTTTAGGGTATGCAAAATAATTTCTTCTATATATCACAACTAATGTGATGCAACACTCATAATCCAAGTGATTTTGTATAATTTACTTGGATTGAAATGCACATAATTAGCACACTAGAGTAGAGGATCCATGAAGTCTTTGTGAGTATAAAAGTGCCATTCATTCATCCAAGTGGTCAATGCATTGATATTCTCTTGTGCTTTAAGAAATTTCCTTTTAGTGGCTTATATTCTCATCAATGCATTTTTTCAGAACCTTTTTTTTTGAGATATTACTGTCCTTGTAGCCAAATTCATACATCTTTAATTGATTTTCATGTGTAGGCAGTGAGATTTTCATCCTCGATCTTGAGAGGTTTGATACTAGCGATGTTATTGACTTAGAAACTAGAAGAAAGGAGAGAGTATAACGATACATGGTGTGGAATTTGCGAAAAATCATTGTAGAGCATTGTGGCTTTGATATCATGACAATTTTTAGATTATAGAATATAGGTGATATATTTGTGGCTATACAATGTCTTTTGAAATAACTTACTAAAAGCAATGGAAAATAGGGAGGGAATCATTACTCTTTTATTCCCTGGCTAAATCATGATTGTTAAAAAATAAGGCCATTTATGCACATACCGTGTAATTCTTATGTATTTACATAAATAACACTTTATTTTTCATAAATTCATACATAACACTCCAATATATTACGCAAAATACATCTTTTATTAACTTTTTAAATTGAATCCATCTTTTCATGAATAGGCAATTATCAAACTTTAGTTGTTAGATATGTAAATGCATATGAATTGTATGGTATGTATGTAAATTGTCCTAAAAAATATTCATACATTCAGTATAATAGTCACAATAACGATTTATATATGTTCACTAAATGATATAATAAATGTGATGAATATACAAGAGAGTAGATGCTTTGGTATCTAATTTTAATGTGAATTATTCCATATTATTTTTATGATGAATGTGAAAATTATTAGGGTCATTAGAATTTTTTCTTTCTTGCTCATGCATCTTTAAAGATTGCAAATGATCGAGCGTTTGATAAATTACTTGTGAGTTGGCTCAATTAAAGCTCCATGATTGTTTGATTAATTAATTGAACAAGTTTGAACACTTTTATAGGTGCTCAATTTCTAAATAAATAAGCTTGCACAATTTGTTATTTGGTTCATCATGTTTATGAACAATATCATTTAAAATTCGTGAATAAGCTTGATTAAGGCTTGATTATTCATGAATAATAGCGTTTAAATGTTTGTTTTTAGGGTCAACAAGTAGAGTTGTAAATGAACCAATGCACTTGATGAACAACTTGAACTCAACTTGATTAGTACTTGATCACGTTTATTCAAATTAGTAAATAGACAAGTTTGAATATTTTTTATGAACTCTTTCATTAATGTTTATAAACGAACTCTGTTGTTGTTGAACAAGTTAACTTTATAAATATTCTATATTTATATGATATATTATTTAAGTAAATTTTGATTAATTAAATTTTCATTAATAATTTATTTAATAGTTACATATTATAATTTAATATCAATATACATATAAAATTAATATAATTTTTTATTTTTTTAAATTCAAATGCTCATTTTAATTTTTAAGCTGTTTATTAGTTTATTTGAAAATCATGTATAAATTAAAATTTTAATTTTATATGAATGATTTAGCGCTTATTTGAAAATTTGGCTTTTTAATTAATATAAATTAAGCTAAGTACAAATAAAGTACAAACATTATAAATTTTAAGCAAGTAAACATATATCTGAAAGCTTGTCTCACACTGGGACTGAACATGAACAACTTATGATTTGACCAAACCAAGTTCAAACAATGACATAATCGACTTGACTCTATTACTTCCTTTTTAAAGAGCATTGTTTGATATGGCTTGTTTATATTTTGTAGTAAGATACTCACATAAGTCTCGAGTAAAGCTCGTTTAAGGCTAGATGACTCTTTTATTTTGTTAAACGAGTTACTCATTAATAAACTCGATAATTCTTATATGAGCCAAACTCAAATCGAGCTCGAGTGAAGCTCTAATAAAGGTATTTATAAATGAAGTCGAACCCAAACATAATCTTAAAAGCTCGATTCGAGCCCGAACAAGATCTTACTAAATGAGCTCGAGCTCGCACAAGTACATGCTCCGCTCTGTTTGGTTCGTTTGCAACCTAGCATCTTTTTTCTTTTGTGAATGGCCCCAGTTTAAACATACTTTTTTCTAAGAATGATATATGAAATGTGTTCATGAATTTTTATACGATATAAAATGCTTTTTTGATTGTGATTTTATAAGATATATTTAATTTTCAATCTTTTATATTATTCTAAAATTTTTTGTGGAATTTTGAATTGTCATGATTTTGCAATGATTGCTTGAAATAAATGAATCGTGCTTTATTTTTCATCAAAAGACACTGATTTTTGTTTAAATTGAAAGCTAGGAAACTATGAATTATAGATTTTAGGTTTCTTTGTGTACTACTGATCCTGGATCTTCATTAGTGAACTCTATCTCAAATTCGCATTTGCATATCACAAATCAACATAGGAAGAAGGAAGCAAAAATGCCAAAACCAAGACTTGTTTGATAGGTATGTAATCATTCCCAAAAAGCAAAACCAACGTAAGAACCGGCAAAATATATGCATCAACCAAAGACCGCAGACCTATCAAACAATTGCAAAGCATATAGTGCTGTGTATGTAAAAAAAAAAAAAAATTGTATGCAAACAATACGGCTCATAGAGCAAATCCACGAAGAAGATATGAGGGGAGAAGATACCGAAGGAAGGAGGAGGCAAATGCAGGCAAAAAATGCTATCCAAATGTGATGTAGAAGAAGCCCTAAAGAGATCGCTTGCGGGACGAGGGAGAGGGAGGGAGGGAGGGAGGGAGGAAAAGTTACCATACAATGCAGAATAATCTAGCATTCGATCTCGATGTGGCTTTGCGGGCGCATTTAATAAATCGTGCCCGTGCCGCACTAAACAAACTACCAAAATCACGGCTTGCTGCTGCGCCACAACTGCGCCAAACTAACCCTAAGTTGAATTCAATTATGCTGAATTGAAACTTTTTAATTTTTGGTTTGACTGTGGAATTCTAAGCAGCCACTGATTTTGGATCTTTTTGGCTTATAATAGGGCCCTTGAGACAAGCAAAGTTATTATTGAATGCTTGAATATAGTATTTGTTTTTCGCTTAATTCTTACATGTATTTTTGGATGTAAATTTGTTGGGGAAAATTTACGTGCATGCTGCTTGTGTATTCACATATCTAACATCTAAAGTTTGATATTTACATCATACCACTTTGGTGTCATAAACTTATGTATGAAACTGTATATTTCACTTTCAAAAGGTAAATATGGTGGTATTTTGATGTGAAGTTAACGTTTTAAGTGTTATAAATGTAAATATGAAAGTTTAGGTGTTAGATATTTAAATGCATAAGAATTGTGTGGTATATATGTAAACGCCCCTAATTTTTTATGTGCGTTTCTTCTTGTATCAAGTATCAACATGAGAGTTGGATGTTACAATTTGTGATTTTTGTTCATGTTCTTTCTTCTGAACTGCTTAGCAATTTGTAAATGTGTGTGATTTTGATTGTTTCAAGTTGGTTAATATAATCATTTTTTGTGTTATTAATATTTTTCATTGCAGAATTTTATATTTGATCTTAAATTTTCTTGTGAAGTTCTAGATTTTGACAAAGTTATAAATTATCTATTGGACTGAATGTTCATGTTCCTGATTTTGCATTAAAGAAGACTAATTGTTTCTTAAATTAGAACTTCAGAATTAACCTACAAATTATAGTTTTTTGTGTGTTTCTTTATGCGTCTCACATTAGTGAACCTTAGACTCTAAATATCCTACATACTGTATTATTTTCGATTTATGACCCTCAAAAGGCATTTTTGACATTCGACATATGTATGAAGTAATTTGAAAATTCAATAGATTTGTAAAATTAAAATTTGTTTGAATTTAAGTGCTAAGTTGGGGGGAAAGGAAGAGTGAAACTGCAATACTTGTTGGAGATAGTGACAGTTTGAAGATTTTGGAACGGATGCCTATGGCTTTGACTAACACCTTTTGGTGACTTGCATAAAGTTTGAAGTTACATATACTCTTTTTTTAGAAATTTACATACATACCAAACAAGTCTTATTTTTTTACATATCTAACACCCAAAGTTTGATATTTACACTTATAACACCTTGATGTCATAAAGCTATGCATGAAAATTTATAATTCACTTTTAAAAAAGAGAAAAGTATCAAAATATTCGCTTGACTTTTTTGCAGTGGGTCATTTGAGTCCCAAAGTACGTCAATGTGACAATTTAGTCCCCAAACTCTTTTAATATGGGCTGAAGTAATCATCCATGGAAACTTATTAAAAGAACTTGAGAACTAAGTTGACACTTTTATAAACTTCGGGACTAAGTTGACACTTTTATAAACTTTAGGACTAAAATGACCTCATATAAATCGTCAAGGGTCTATTTATAAATTGTCAAAGGAATATTTTGACATTTTTTAGAAAAAAAATAGCGATGGCGATGTTAAAATTCCAAGTGGTAGGTATGTAAATATGAATGCTTAGGTGCTCGATATGTACTCCATGGAAACTTATTAAAAGAATCTGAGAACTAAGTTGACACTTTTATAAATTTTAGGACTAAAATGACCCCATATAAATCGTCAAGGGACTATTTAGAAATTGTCAAGGGACTATTTTGACATTTTTTAGGAAAAAAATAGCGATGGCAAGTTAAAATTCTAAGTGGTATGTATGTAAATATGAATGCTTAGGTGCTCGATATGTAAATACATAAGAATTGTGTGGTCTTTAATGTAAATTCCCAACGCCCTTTTTTTTCCTGTTTAATTTCTTAAACCTTTTCTCACTTGCACATCATATTATATTTGGCAGGTTTTCCTGTTTAATTTCTTAAAGCTTTTCTCACTTGCACATCATATTATATTTGGCAGGAAGATGTAGTCGAGACTACTCTGGTTGGCAAGCATAATAAAGGCTGCCATTGCAAGAAATCGGGTTGCCTCAAGAAATATTGCGAGTGTTACCAAGCCAACATTCTCTGCTCCGAAAATTGTAAGTGTATAGACTGCAAGAACTTCGAAGGGAGCGAAGAGAGAAAGGCTTATCACCATGGAGATCATGGGAATGCTTTCAATTTCATGCAACAGGCGGCGCATGCGGCCTTAAATGGTGCTATTGGTCCCTCTGGCTATAATTCGCCTGTGTCAAAGAAGCGGAAGAACCATGATCTCTTTTTCAACACATCTTCGAAGGATCAATCCATTCACGTTGCGGTGCAATACCCAAATGTAATTCTTTGATTTTGTAACTTTGTGTCAGTTACCAAGGGCTTGTTTGGGATTAATTTAATTTTGAAAGATTTACATATATATCCATCAATTCTTATATATTTACATATCAAACATCTTAGCCTTTGATTTTTACATGTATGCCATCTTATCTATGAATAAAAATGTATATTTTACTTTTTAAAAGTTATAATAGTGGTATTTTTGATGTGATATGAATATAAAAATCGAAGTTTAGGTATTAGATATGTAAATAAATAAGAAATGGGGTTTATGTATGTAAATTACCCTTTTATTATTTGTTTTTGTTTTTAGAAACATATTTGTTTAGAGCCCGTTTGGGATCACTTTTGAGTTTTGTTATTTTGTTGAAATTTCTTGTGTTGATAGGTTGGCCATGTGAAGACTTCAGAGCCTTCATCTGTTGCTTCTGTTCCTGCAGGCCGTTCTGCTAATCCTGCTCCATTGGGATCGGCAAAAGCTACGTATAGGTATTTATATTTCTTCTCATATTACAGTAGACAGTTATTTCCACCAATTTAGCTTCCCTCAGTCACCAAGCTTAAAAAAAATTAATTTTTCACTCAGAATATTTTAGAGAAATTTACGTACATACCACACAATTCTTTTATATTTACATATCTGACACCTACAGGTTGATATTTACATTTATAACAGCTTGGTGTCGCAAACATATTCATGAAAAGTTATATAGATGAAAATGTGTATTTCACTTTTAAAAGGGAGTGACTTTGATATCTGTGATATTAAAGATTTGAGTGCTTTGTATGTAAATATAAATGTGTGGTGCTAGATATGTAAATACATGAGAATTGTATGGTATTTATGTAAATGCGCTTCATGTCATGCCCTGTTATACATTTCCATAAATAGGAAATAAAACTATATGAATGAAAAATATAGATTATGTTAAAAAAAATTAAAATTTGGGGCCTCTTGTTGGACTCATAATTTGGCTTTTATACCTTCTATTCATTCTTGCAGGCCATTGCTAGCAGATATAGTACACAATGAAGATGTAAAGGAGTTATGCCGAATTTTGGCGGTCGTATCGGCAGAGGTCGTTAAAACAGCCGCTGGTATGAACGATAAATCACATTTTGCGTTTCCACAATAATTTTTTGCATTTTTGTCTGACACCACGTTTATCCATGATGCGTACATTTATCATATATGACATGCTTTTATACGTGGACAATGAAATTCTAATCTTTCAATCTTTTTGGGTTCTCTTATTTTTTTTGGTGCAGGGGCATTTACATATCCAGCAGCTAAACTTTGTTTTTTACATTTAAACCACTCAAATCTTCATATTGCATAAAAAATATCACCATTTTAACTTCTGAAAAGTGAAATACACATTGTCATGCATAAGTAAGATGGTATGCATGTAAAAATTGAATTTTAGTTGTTAGAAAAGCAACCAGAATTCTATAGTAAAATTGGATGAGTAAAATAGGACATCCTAGAGTTTGCTGAAGTCAACGTTGATATGAACATTTCTACAAGTAGAAAAAGGCAAAGTTCAAGTTCTTAATGGGTGAAGATATATCATCATCATCAACAACAACAACAACGACAACGAGCCTTTATTCCACTAAGTGGGGTCGGCTATATGAATCCCTTTTCTCCATTGTGTCCTGTTGAGTGTCATATTTTTATTTAAAGGTCTCCTCTAAGTTTTGTTGAATAGATTTGTAAATCCAATTTTGAAGTACTTTGGTTTAGTCATTTTTTTTTCACAACTTTTAAAATTTTGAACTCCTTATAACAACAACGACAACGAGCCTTTATTCCACTAAGTGGGGTCGGCTATATGAATCCTTTTTCTCCATTGTGTCCTGTTGAGTGTCATATTTTTATTTAAAGGTCTCCTCTAAGTTTTGTTGAATAGATTTGTAAATCCAATTTTGAAGTACTTTGGTTTAGTCATTTTTTTTTCACAACTTTTAAAATTTTAAACTCCTTATAACAACAACGACAACAAGCCTTTATTCCACTAAGTGGGGTCGGCTATATGAATTCTTTTTCTCCATTGTGTCCTGTTGAGTGTCATATTTTTATTTAAATGTCTCCTCTAAGTTTTGTTGAATAGATTTGTAAATCCAATTTTGAATTACTTTGGTTTAGTCTTTTTTTTTCACAACTTTTAAAATTTTAAACTCCTAATAACAACAACGACAACAAGCCTTTATTCCACTAAGTGGGGTCGGCTATATGAATCATTTTTCTCTATTGTGTCCTGTTGAGTGTCATATTTTTATTTAAAGGTCTCCTCTAAGTTTTGTTGAATAGATTTCTAAGTCCAATTTTGAAGTACTTTGGTTTAGACATTTTTTTTTCACAACTTTTAAAATTTTTAACTCCTTATAACCCCCCCACATACAAAGCACCCAAAGCATCATTATTTACTAAATCTAGCACCCATATGATATTTTTGAATTACTGAACTGATGTTTTTACATGTGCCACGATCAAACCACTAAGAATTTGATAAAAATGAAAAATATGGGTTGGGGTTTTATCATGAATTTTGATTTTTGAGTGAGAGTTTGGAAAATGGATTAAAGTAGGTGCTAGATTTGTAAATAGGAATGTTTCGGGTGTTATGTATGTAATTGACCCCTTTTTTTCCTCCATTCACACTACTTTTATTAGCCTACTTTTTTTGTACTTCTATGTATATTTCATCTTGATCTACTTTCACTAGATTATCTTAAATACGGGCTTCTTTTCCATTGATCAAATATAATTTTGTCAATCCATACATCCCGATCTCTTCATACGTCCATCTTAACATTCTTATCATTGTCACTCTCAAAACTTAGAGGTTGTTTATGACCATTTTTATTTTTTATTTTTTGTTTTTGTTTTTATTTTATTTTGTTTATGTTTAGATTTGAAACAAATATGTTTGACATGTTTAATTAATACATGATTGATTTTAAAAATACTTAAAATATTTAAAAGTTAATTTGAGTGTTTTCAAAAATATGTTAATTTTTTTATAAACAAAAATTAAAATATAAAAAAAACACATTTAAACATATATTTTTAAAAATAAAAGCAAAAAATTATCCCAAACAAGCCATACGGAACTTATATTAGTTCCATAACATAAAACCAAGAAATTTCTTCTTAGATTTTAATTAAGGGTGTGAAGCATGAAGGTTATAGTTCTGATATTTTAGAAGGTGTAATGATAGGATTGATGTGGATAGAGAGCAGGAAGATAAAATTGTTGAGATTGATAAGTTTAGTGATGGATCAATTGAAGATAATTTTCTATTAGGATTTTATAAATGTGATTATGGTTTATATCACTTTAGTTGAGTCACAAGCTATTTCAAAAGGTTAGTTTTGGAAAACATTGGAATAATTGCTATACTGATACCATCAGAAGAAAATATATTGATTGGACATGAATTAAATTAACATTGATTCTAATATGATGTTCTATGAGAGCTTTTTAGTGAGGGAATGTATACCTAATTTCACAATAGCCTATTATCGTGTAATAATGAATACATGCTTTTGAAATGAAAACACAATTACTTATAGCAGTGGCACCACCAAATCATAAATAGACTTTTTTTTCCGTTAGAGATAAAATGTTCTTTGCCGTGCTTCTAAGATGATCCTACGAGGGGCTTTGACCATAAAAGTTCGACTAGTAACTTTGGATGTGCTTCTTAAGAATATACATAAAATAATAATAATAAAAAAAAATTCTAGCATAAATGTAAAATATTGTTAGTCTTTCAAAATAGGTTGCTAAGTGAGAGAAATTATAATTTTTTTAGCTGATTAAAACTTATCTTGGATAGGTTGCTAGCCTGATCTGTTAATAATATTCATATAAATGTTCTGTGTGAGTCTAAAACTAGATTATACACTAGTATGGCATTTTGGTGGGGGAGTGGTGAGGTACAAATATTTATTTAGGAAAAAATGAACTCTTAAAATGTGTCAAAATATTGATCGCTATTGATGCTTATACTAATTGTTAAAAAGATAGAAGTATTGTAAAAGGTAAGTTAGCAAAGTAAAGACTATAAGATTTGATGGTTTATATTATAATTTGGTATTAATGAAAGAGAAATGAGATATATAAAATAGATAAAGATAATTGATAAGAGATTTAAAGTGATATTGAAGTTAACCCAAATCATAATAGGGAAAACAAATATTATTACTAAAAAAGTAAACAAAGTTACAATCAAAGATTATCACTCAAAAAGCAAACCAAGTTACAATCAAAGGCACTTGGAACATGGAAATAACAAAGACAAAACCACGATTCCGCTAGGGCTGAGGGCGAAGATGAATGGTTTAGGGTTTAGGTTGAAAATGGGTTGGAGGCGGTATATATATTATTTTCTGTTTAGAGTTAGTTTTGTTGTGTTTTCTGTCGGGACAGTCGTCAGCTTTCTTTGTTTTTCCTCTTAGGGTTGTTTCCAAGGACGAGTGGTGCTCCAGCTATATCTCGCTCTGAGGTGGTGATTATCCTCCACTTTACCCTCCCACAACCTTCTTCTTACTGCCGCCCATCACTCTCTTTCTTGCTCGCTTCAGAACAACTGTAACACCCTCCCTTTTCTACTTGTTGCAATCCCCAGTTCACATGACCAACCCTCTTTCCTGTTCGCAACACCCTCCTGCCACAACCTACCACCACACTGCTGCCTTCTACCTACTACCCTCCAAACCATATTCCACTTGATCCCTATTACCATCCAAACAACTGCGCACCTTCCCCTGTCCTCCAACTACAACCCTACTTTCCCCAAATCACATCTACCATTGACAACTCCCTCACCCCTAATCTACACCCTAGTTTTGTGTCATGTCGTTCTTTTTCTGCTCTTATGTGTCTTGTTTGTAACCCTTTTAAATTTTTGCAACAATATTTGCATTTCTATTGTAATTTGGATTAACTTTAGTATCATGGAGTGGCTGGAAAAGGGATGACGACAAGCAGGGGGGTGGCTGTACTGGTTGGAAGTGATCTTGAGGCAGCTTGGAAGGCTGATAGTGAGGTGGAGGGGATTGAGAGCACTGATCAACTGCAAGGAAATAATCGGGAGGTGGTTTTCTGACGAAGAAAATGATTATGATGACGATAACAGTGGAGAAGCTGTAAGAAGCAGGGAGCGATGGATACACACCACCTCGAGACAAGTTGCAATCGTAGCGGAGCACCTTCAGATATAACCATAAGAGAGAAAACTGGATGTCGGTGGTTGTCCCGACATAAATTTAAAGACAAAAATACTGTAAAATACTACAAATAACACACACATATATATATATATATATATAGGATAAAGAGTAGCGGGCTCCACTCTGAATAAGAGGGAACTCCATTCTTAGAAGGACTGGTCGTTTCCTCGGCCCGGATCTAATCGATCCTGCGCAACTTTTGCGTGTCTGTGAGTTCGTCTCGTCTTGTCACTCGTTTCCTCCTTGGCCCGGATCTAATCGATCCTGCGCGACTTTTGCGTGTCTGTGAGTTCGTCTCGTCTTGTCATGGGCAGAATGCGCCACTCGTCAATCCATCGAAAATTCTATCCTCGTAATAGGGAGTCAAGTCTTCCACATTGAAGGAAGCCAAGATGTTGTACTCCTTTGGTAAATCAATATTGTAAGCATTTTCATTCAACTTCTTGAAAATTTTGAATGGTTTGTTTGGTTCTGGCTTGAGTATCTCTAATGAAAGTAGGGGAAATCTTTCTTTCTTCAGTTTGATCCACACTAGATCTCTCTTGTGGAAGGTCGTATTCTTCTTTGATTTATTAGCTTACACGTGGTACTTGTGATTCTAATTGATTATCTATTTCCCAACCTCTTCATACAACCTTTGAATTTCTTGTATTCTTGCCTCCACGTCCGCACTAGTCTTTGGTGTGGGGAAAATTGGTACAAATTCAAGTGATGCGGGCGGTTTGCATCCATGTACAATCTGGAAAGGTGCGCGCCTCGTAGTTTGGCTCACAGATCGATTGTAGGCAAATTTGGCCTAGGTTAGGCGATGTTTTTTCATACGAAACACCTTAGGAGCTTTCCCAGGCTTCTGTTC